AGTCCCCCTCCATTCTCTGCAGTTGCCTCATTTACTGTATCCCTTGGGGTTTGTGGGGTGTGATCAGAGATGACATTGTTTACATGGCACTCACCTCCTCCTGGGTGGGAGGTAGAGCGGATGGAGGGAGTCCCGCTGTCCCCTGGTTCTGTGCTGGCGCTCTTGCTACCACTACCCTCCCCTTGTATATAACCCAAGTAGGCCCCTCCTCTGCTTAAGGGACTCCAGGAGTTTTTTGTGCTGTTTCCTTTGCATTACTGTGCAATCTGGGTTTTTTGCATTCTGAATAACTTCCCATTTCTTATACTCACTCACTAGTGTGATCCTGAGGGGGCGGGGCTTGTCCATCTGCCTTTGTCCTAGCGTCCTCACGTCCTGAGTGGGAGGTGGTAATTTCAGAGCCTCATCACAAATATTTTGAAATTTCAACTTGTCGTGTGTTTTCCTTGTGTCAGCTTCCTCTGATTGGCTCTCAGGGACTCCAAACACTATAATGTTGTTCCTACGCTCTGAACGTTCCCGTTTCTCCTCTTCTCCCATATCAGTAGGTCTACTAGTTGTCAACTCGTTAACACAGTTCTGCAGAGTCCCTAGCCGCCGGAGGACCTGGTCAGCAGTGGCGTAGCTAGAGTGTGTGCCGCCCGGGGCGGCCCTTGAGTTTGCCCCCGTGCCCCCACAAAAAATACATATTGCACAGTGACTCACTCGTCTTGTCACGATGGAGACTTGTGCAGAACTGAAGTGAATTGCTTGTAACTGGTGGATTGGTCGGCTGTACATGAACTGATATGACCCGAGACTGCATGGTTTTGCAGCTACTGGAGACGTTAATCCTTCCCTTTGTATCGGCGGCAAGTTAATCCTCGTCGTGTCTGACCTAACACCTGACCCACACCACATGAGCTCACTGGCGTACTTGTTTGAAGTTGTTTCCTTAATCCTCAACAGGTTACAGGTTGTGTGTGTGGCGGGGGGCCTCATAGCAAGGGTGTAGCTCATGACGTGGCCGTGATGATGTGGGTCAGGTGTTAGGTCAGACACGACAAGGATTAACTTGCCGCCGATACAAAGGGATGGATTAACGTCTCCAGTAGCTGCAGATATGGGTGATGAGCAGACCCAAAAGTGCCGCCCCCCAAAAGTGCCGCCCGGGGCGGACCGCCCCCCCCGCCCCCCCCTAGCTACGCTAGTGCTAGTCAGATCCTGCATTACTCTCCGTCACCTTCTGTGACCCTGCTACAACCTGAGCATAGCACTTCTTAACTACTTCCTCAGTCTTAGGGAGGATTTTTTTCCAAACCTGCTATAGTTTGGCAATCAACATGGATTTAGCTTCCTCTATTTTTGTCTCTAAGTATCTCATTCTCCTATGGGGGGGGGGGACCGGTGGTAGAAGCGGTACCGTTCTTGCCTCACAAGCGAGATGTCACGGGTTCGATTCCCGGGCCGGTGGAATTTGTTTGGACTTACTTCCTAGCCCCCATTAGTCCCTGTTCACCTAGCAGTAAAGTAGGTACCTGGTGTAAGTCGAAAGTTGCGAATTCGTATTCAGGGACAAGTTGTTGGAGCTTCCAATAACTTGATGACATAAACCACCGACTCTTCAGGCTTCTACGCCCTTAACTCATGAGACATAAAGGCAAGCATGAACTTAGCATGCTTCCCTTTTGGGCGCTGTAAACGCTTCTGCGCTTCACCTTACACAAGGATGTAGGGGAGTGCCCAATAAAAAAAAAATTCCCTATGGTCTTCAAACATCTCGTTTACTTTGATTATACAGTTAGGGCAACTCCAGCAACAGCCTTCATGCTTTCTTTTTCTCTTTTATCCTCTTCACCACTGATCGGCTCGTAAGCTGCTTGAACGATCGGTCATGTCTCTGTTACTTTTCTTTTTCTTTTATCCTCTTCACCAAATGATCGGCTCGTTAGCTGCTTGGGCGATCAGTCACGTCTCTGTTATGCACTGTTGGCAAGTACTGGGCATGCACCAGTTCCTGAATGTACCTGAGCCTGTTCCAGTGTTGGTCAAGTCTGGTCTTGAAAGAGCTCACACTTGGTGCCGACACAACACTTTCTGGTAGATTGTTCCAAGAGTTCACAACTCTCACTCCGAAAAAGTTTGCCCTCACAGTTTTCTGGACCTGCGGCTTCTTCAATCTAGAGCCCTCCTTTGAACATTTTCAACCAACTGACAGTCCCCAGCATATCTCGGGGAGCAGACGGGGTGACAGTACTCCAGATGGGGAAGCACTTCACTCTTGAAGATCGTTACGAGGGACGGACCGTCTAGATATGTGAACGACCTTCTTATAAGACCCAATAATTTATTTGCCTGATTTACCTTCTTCTCGCAATCGCCCGAAAACTTCAGTTCATTGGCAACATACACACCGAGGTCCTTCTCACATTGTCTCAAATAGTGCAGTTTCTTCATCCCGTTGGGACATAAAACTCCTCCTTACCGTGAGTACGCCCCAGGTGCATCATCTTACACTTCGTGACATTGAATCTCAGCAGCCATTTCTTCGACCATTCTTGGAGTTCACAGAGGTCCTTCTGCAGCTCTTCACAGTCCGCTTGGTTCTTGATTTCCCGAAATAACTTAGCGTCATCGGCAAACATTTGTATGGAGGAGTGTACGTCAGGCATGTCATTTATGAAACAAACAAACAAACAACATAGGGCCCAATACACTGCCCTGTGGTACCCCGCTTGTGACAGGTACGGATGATGATTTCATGCCATTAATCACCACACACTGCTTGCGGTCATGTAGAAAAGTCTTCTATCCACGCTAGGACATTTCCCCGAATTCCGTACTCTTCCAGTTTTATTTTCAGCCTTTCGCGGGGTACAGTGTCGAAAGCCTTGGCAAAATCTAGGTAAATATTGTCGATATTACCACCCCATTCCAGAATATGGGTCCAAATATCCAATACTTTGAGCAATTGTGTTAAGCAGGAGCGCCCCGGCATGAAGCCGTGTTGGCAATCCTTTACAAGGTTGTTTCGTAGTAGATGTTCCATGTTTTATCGCATTCACTACCTTCCTAAATGCTGTTAAGCCCAGACCTGCACAATTTACATTAGATGTTGCCCTGCAGGAATTGCATATCAACCAACTTCCTGGTGATGCTGGGGTTTTAGTCCCCGATTCCCTATGCCTATCCATGCCTTGCCACAAACTTTCTTCTTCCTTTCACGTACTTTACACCTGTCCTACACCAGTGCTTGACAGCTGTCACTGTTAGGGAGGGGGATGTGCAGACTCTGTAAAAAATCTTCTTAGGCTTAAGCCCATTTTACAATGCGATATAATCATAATCGTTTGCTTGATAATAATGATGATAATCATAATTATAACTATGATAATTTCTTCTGTCTTGGTGGCAGGGCTTTAGTGTCAAGGTCCCTTTAGAGCCCCCGCCGCAGCATTCGCCTAGGCCTCCTTGTCTGGCGATTAGGGGAAGTGATGCCAACTACCAAACTCTCACTTAATTTCTTTTGATGCAGAAGTTAGCTCCTCACTGGGACGACTTCCTTTATAATCACATCTACTAATTGTAATCTAAGTGAACCAAGATGTGAGAGATCATGCCCTTGTTGCAGACTAATATTATTAAAACAAAAAATAAATAAAGAAATTACTTAGCTGCCTGCCAGTCTTGATCTCGCTGGCACTCTCGTCCATCCAGTGTAGCCATTCAAGACAGTTTGACTTTTTTTTCTGTTCTCCTCGACGAGTTATTGGTATCTCTGTGTGTTGTCACTATGAATGGTGGATCATATGCACGATCACAGTCCCTTAGAACACAGAAAAAAAAACTTTCTCTGTGGTGGTATCAATGCTTTCGAGACAGTACGGCTTGTTTTTGTTTTCGTTTTTCGTTTTTTTAAACTATTATTCAATTTTATTCTCTTGTCCAGCTCTCATCAACGAAATTATCTCTATGTACTATCATTATATACACACTAGGGTTATGAGGGGAGTGTCAGGGTTATGAGGGGAGTGTCAGGGCTATGAGGGGAGTGTCAGGGTCATGAGGGGAGTGTCAGGGTTATGAGGGGAGTGTGAGGGTTATGAGGGGAGTGTGACGGTCATCAGGTGAGTGTGACGGTCATGAGGGGAGTGTGACGGTCATGAGGGGAGTGTGAAGGTGTGACGGTCATGAGGTGAGTGTGACGGTCATCAGGTGAGTGTGACGGTCATCAGGTGAGTGTGATGGTCATCAGGTGAGTGACGGTCATCAGGTGAGTGTGACGGGTGTGACGGTCATCAGGTGAGTGTGACGGTCATGAGGTGAGTGTGACGGTCATCAGGTGAGTGTGACAGTCATCAGGTGAGTGTGACGGTCATCAGACGAGTGTGACGGTCATCAGGTGAGTGTAACGGTCATCAGAAAAGTCTCTAGGTCACTAATTGAGGTCAATGACAGGATGACAGTGGATAGCGTTGATAGTTTTTGTCATATAACTTAGTGTTTGGTAAATATACAGCCCTGTTGTGGGTCGTTTGACCTGTGCCCGGGTGGACTAATTCCCATGTTAAAAAAAAAAAAAAAGAAAGACACTGAGCAGTAAATCATAACAAATAGTCCTGTAAGTTTGCAAAAAATATGTATATGCCAAAATTTATATCTATTTTAATTTAATATATGAATTGCTAAGAAAATACAATTGCTGGGTTTGTTTGTTCCCTGTTCCCAGTCTTGCCGGATGTAGGCATAATCTTAATTGTGTTCATGTGAAGGCTTGTTTTTTCATTTGCCTTTTCTGCAAGTAAAGAGATTTGAAGTCATAAGCAGGAGTGAAAAAGTATTATTTCTCTCTATTCGGAGATAATTATTAACATATTTATTTGGTACACAGTACAGTATTGCATGATCCTTGCCCTCTCATGTTGTTTATTGAAGAAATATTTAGTTGTAGGTGATTAGGAAGGAAGCAAGTGTAGTGATGGAACAGAGGATTATTTTGATGTGTTGTTCCTCCCCTCCAGGTGTGGCACTGGTGTATCCCAAGTGGACAACACTACTCTTTCCTCTGCCCCAACCAGACCCTCTTCAACCAAGTGTACAGGTACACATCACATATCTACTCTCCCCCCACGGTTTTGTCTACAGTAGTCTATATTCATGATTTTCCCTGCTATCCATAGCTATAACTATACTGTACTGTAGGTTTAATTTAAGACAATGAGTCGCTCTTCAATCAAGTACAGGGCATCTTCCCCTTTAAAGCTTCCATATATACAGTATTGTTTTTAACTTATATTTTTACATTCTAGGATAAGTAGCTTCTGTTTAGCCAAGGTTATAAACTCAAGTGAAGCTAAATTAATAGCATCTTCTTCAGCATTATAATACTGTATCGTTCCTCATTCATATCTTTATATTTCAGGACAATTAGATCCTTTCCAGTCACATATTCAAGTTGAGTATTGTACCAAGGGTATGGCAAGCATATTTCCCTCTTATTCACTTTACTTCATGCTGCTCCCATAATTCCTGTTACTGTGCTGCACTGTGTGAGAATAAAGAAACTCCTCAAGTGGGCACATACTACCAAGATGAAATGATCGTGCTACTTTTTTCTCTCTTGTTGAATTTTGCAAATTTTTTACATTTATTGTTTCTCTTAATTTTTCTTCCCTTTTTGGGCAGATTCTCCAAGAATTTGTCATTTAAATATTTTTACTACTGTATTTGAACACAACTTGTAAGTATTGTACATGTTCCTCCTCCATGTTTTCTCTTTTTTCCTCACCTCATTCACTCAGTTTTATGATTCTTCTTGGAGCCCTCCACACCCAACCCTAAAATTAAAAATAACAGACATATTTCAAAGTATTTAAAACTAATTTCTGATACATCATGACCGACCATTTACATAAGTTATGATGATACAAAAATACTGTACTCTAAGGTAAATATAAAAAAGCAACAAAGAAATCACATTTCATTACCAGTACAATGCTATGAAATATAATTCAGTTATTTCTTATGAAAGGGGTTTTGGGTGTGGTGGTTTAATAGATTTTGGACCTGACCCTGACTGAATTAGTGACACATTAACCTACCTCTTGTGTGTGTTCTGGCAGGGTGTGTGACTGGTGGTACAATGTAGACTGCTCAGGCTCTCCCGACAACTACAACATCAACGAGGACCTTTACAAGATTCCTGACGAGTTTGTTGGCCGGTCGATCGACCAACCTGATCCTGTGGATGAAGAAATCAGCGACGAAGCTTAGCGACGTTGTTCACGACTGCTACCAAACTCCGCAACTCCTGGCTGTGTGCGTAATCTTTTCCTGAGAGCAGCTAATAATCTCAACAAATTCAGCTAATAAAATTTGTAAGTCCATGTGTGGTTATTTTTGTTAGTTGCAAGAGCTTATAATATTCAGCTTTAAAACATATATAATACTTAATACCAGTAGTATACTACTGAACTCTGGGAAACCTATAGTAGAATTTATATAGAGAAAGGAAATCTTTAACACACTATCACAATAGACTACAAACATAAACAATATTAGTACAGTACTGTACTGTAATAATCTGCTTTAAATATTTTCAAGTCTCACCAAAAATATCAACACAAGTTGGAAGTGTGAGGGAGTCCAGTACTGTATGGGTGTGTCAGGGGCATACCAATGAAGGTACAGTACAGTAAACTATGTTAACAATCAAGGACTGTTATGTGTAGAGGAGGATGTGTGAATCAATGAGGAACACGGCAACATTAATAATGAGTCAAGATACTTGCAATACCAGAAACAAATATAATTTTTATTGTAACTTTTCTTCAGCAATTAAATAGTTACAGTAGTTATAGAGGTCACCAGAGGACAAGCACCAATATCAGTATCTTATTTTCTATCTCGGAACATTTCTTCAGTAATAAAATTCTTACTCATAAAGGTCGCCGGAGGACAGGCTTGCAGATCAGTTTATCAATTTTATTATGGAACCATTAACAATGCAGTGCTGACATGAGGAATATCACCCAATACATCAAAGCCAAATGTAGGCATAAAGTTTTAGACACCAAAAAATTATAAAGCTATTATATTTGAAAAAATACAAAATATGCACCAGCATTAAGAACAATACAGTACTCAGGTTCTAATGTCTAAGGAATGAACATGTTGTACTCCATACTTCAAATATGTATACGTACAGCAGTCTCAAAGAAATATATATTTTTTTAATAACTATGGGTATATTCAATTATAGACAATAAGTATAGGAAAAATATTCAGCAAACTTTTCAGTTTACCCTATATTTAACTGACTGTTAAACATGATCAACAATGAAAATAAATCTCCATAAATTTGATGATCCAAGATTTACTAAAAAACAACTACCTGTACTGTATCATCATTCAGGACAATATAATTTACTCCAAATTACATGAACTCTTCAGAAAATATGCAAGTTCATGTGAAATGCAAGTACTGTACATACAAAGTGATGTCCTGAAGAAAATATATTCTATACAAACCAGTTTGTGGATAAGAAGGATGTGGGGAAAAAGATTGTAAAGCTATAACAGACAAGATTGCACAAACTTGCCACTAATATAGAGGAAGCATAAACAACTTAAGAGAGCTGTACAGTAAAAGTAATGTTTCATCAATTCAAGAAGATCTTTGAAGACTCCTGTGATGACTCCTGTGATCAACTAATATGACAGGTTCTCTCTTTGAACACAGAACCCACATTTATAAAAGGCAGCCCTTACTGAAAAAATATTGAGTACAGTACTATATACATTAGATCTCATATTTCGCGCGATTTCATTTCGCGAGCACTACCTAATGTAACCTAGTCTTATGTTTGGTGAGTTTTGCGAGATCCAGCAAGCTGAATGCTGGCCACCGTCAGGAATGACGTCACAGCCTTCATACCAGTTACAGTCACTTCTGCTACAACTGGTGTTTTGTCAACGCGAATTGGTTGTAACGCAATTGATGAATAGGGGAACACTGTTTGTAAAACGTGAGCTTTTGCATACGAATGTTGGCTATAGCATGATTCCATCCTCAATGTTTTGATTCCATCCTCAACGTTTTAAGCATGGCGCGGAGTCATGCAACATTTACAGTTCACGTTCGACATCACATGTTCAATTGATGTGTGTCTTTTGTTAAGTGTTTTTGAGAGGTACAGTACTCTGTAAATTTTTTTTTTTTTTTTTTTTTAAGCAAATTTAGCTGCTACCCATAAATACTGTATGAAAAGAATAAGTAAAAACAATGTTTCGCAGTGAGGACTAATAACAGTTTACACTAGCGCTCTTTCTTAACATCACATGATCAGTTGAATCGAGCAGCTTCTGTCGATTGCTCTGTGATTTTCGGTGTTTTCTCAAATTTTGTGTTAGCAATTAATATGGAAAGACAAGGTAAGAAGAATGTTTCCAAGAAGCGTTCTGGTGATTGAATTGCCGGTGGTGAATGTAAAAGAGGTTTACAAGAATGCAATTATCGCATTGTAGCCCGCACCATCCTAGCGACCGCCCTGGCTGCTATTGTGCGCTTTTTTGGGTGGTGCTACCACTTGTCAAGTCAAGATAATGGCCTTTACCTCTACTGGGGGTCCTCCTAGTGCTGGTGGGAGTGGGACAGACCCACCTAAGTGGCCAAATAAGGAAAAGGAGAAGCGGGACTATCATAAGGGAGTTAAGCTTGCCACGTACTCGATGCAGGATAAGCAGCATGTGATTAAGTTACTTGAGGAAGGCCTAAAAACTAGTTTCCGGAAAGCACAATCAGGTCAATAAAGACAGAATTTGTATCATTTGGAGGTTATAAATGGGAAAATTAGAGGTTGTTGTAGAGAGGTCAGTCTATATTGTTATTTTTCCCATTAGTTTATATATATATATATATATATATATATATATATATATATATATATATATATATATATATATATATATATATATATATATATATATATATATATATATATATATATATATATATATATATACATATATATATATATATATACATATATATATACACAACCGTGTATGCAAAGCACTATTTTCCAAGTCAATAATTCAAAACCATAAGTCAAGAGTGGGTTTTGACATGACTGTTTTTGATTCCATAATCTAGTGTTTACTTATATAGTATAACTATTTGCATAGACATACAGTACACCCACTGAGAAGTGTTGGTTTTTCACAGGGTCTATATTAGCTGATCACATTTTGTATCAGAAGTGCTACAGCATACAAGCACACACACACAGTTATAATATACTGTATATATTTGACAAATGTATATGACCAGATCTAAATTAGCCTATGGCTCAATACAATAAACAATTTAAGTCATCTATATGATTTACACAATAATAGTTCCATTCTCTTTATCAAATTCAAATCAAGATGGCATTATGTGATTTTTAAACAATACATTCAGACAATTAATTTGTTTTTAAATTAAACATAAGTTGTGATCCCCAAATAAGGGGGAGGAAAATTATCCTGTACAGGTAATCTTGTTTACTACCCAAGCTGCCATATCAGGCTACTCATGTAATGTTGACAAGTCCACAACATTGTGACTGGAGATCTAAAAAAGCAAAAAAACTTGAAAATTAGATAAACCTTCTCAACCATACCAGATTCCTATGAAGGTGACATTTGGCGAGGCAATTCTTATTAGAGGAAAGTCGAGTCTCTACTACAGGTTGAACCCCGCTAATCTGGGACCCGATAGTCCGGCAGTTTCGATAGTTCGAGACGGTGCCATAGCTCTCTTCTAGTGACTGTTGCCACTATTTTACCTTTAAATACTTATAATTTACCCCTAAATATGCCTCCCAAGAGACCAGCAAGCAGTGGAAGTGGTTGTAATGCAGCAAAATGTAAGCATGTGACTAACTATTTTAGAAAAGATGTCAATACTGAAGAAATTAAACAGTAAAAGTACATTTTATGCATAATTTGGCTTCTTTTAACCTCGGCTTCGATGGTTTGGAATTTTTGCTAATCCGGAACCGGTCTGGTCCCAAGCTTCCCAGATTAGTGAGGTCCAACCTTACCACATACTGTAATCACATATGCTCCTCAATCCTATTTTGTTTAGCTTGTTCACAAAAATATAAAGCAGGATCAACAGCCTCACTTTCAACCCACTAGGCCATACTAATGGGAGGGAGGAAGGGGATCTGAGTCACCTGATCCCAGCCCTAAGGAAATGTACCCCTATGCAGGAAAATACATGGATCAATTCCACAAAATAAAATGCAGAGAAACATTGTATTGTACTACATATTCTGCAAACATTAGGGTCAAAGCACTTCATTAGGCAACTCTATCAGCCAGTAGACACTTGGCCCTATCCACAACATAAAGTGCAGTCCCACAACCTGACTTAGTACATGCACAAACTGACTTCCCTGTTCATGTGAACAACTTATGATTAAGTCTCCCTTATATATCAAAATGAACCTTTGCCCAATGATAACATGAATTCCAAAAAGGTATATGCAGAAACTCAAAACCTTTCCAAGAGAATCTGAAAAAAAAAACAAAAAAAAAACAGGTGATTTCCATCCATAAGAACAATTTATTCATATATGGGTCACTCACCCTTTGACGCACTTTCACAGAAACAAAGGCTTGGAGCCAGCTGTCGGGGAATCAGAGCATTATTTCATGGAGCGGGTGGCCAACTCAGACTGTTGAAAACAAGTTTACTCGTATACTTCAGTTGACCTTAATGAACAATCTTAATTGAAAATGACCAATTTTCAGATCTGAAAGGTTTCCCTTATGTCCAATAAACAAAGGAGGAACAATACTACAAGTATCTGAGAGATAATATTATGCGCAGATTTTACAAACGCAGATTTTACAAACACTAAACATAAAACAATGAGAACTGGAGTTGTTCTGAATCCCCAAATGCCTATCTGAATGACACCAAAATGTCCTCTTAGAAGCCAATGTCAGACAACAGTACCGTATTCTATATTTATAAATCTTTAAATATGATGAGCTACATGGCACATTGCCAGTTATGAAGGCCTGCAGACCAACAAGACCCAACCCCAAAGCTACAGTAGGTAATTAACAAATGTAAACCCTCTTCCGATGCTTATCACAATCTTCCAAGAGACATAACACCAACACCTTTCACTAGGTGGCCACCAGTCAAACATAATAAAAGTACTGTACAACATGTGATTTATGGGTAACATTTAGTCTCTGATCTGGAGACTCATGTCATTGGAATTAAGTCAGTTGACTCAACTTTATTTTTGTAGCCAATGTGAAACAAAATATGGTGAGTAGTGCACATACCAGTACTTAATTGACAGTAAAAACTTTCATTCTT